GCACCTTTCGGTTGGCGACGCTGCACTCGCAAAAATTTCGCTCGTCATTGGACGAACGTCCGCGGAAAACGAGCGTTCCCGTTAACGAGGCCTCGCGCGAACGATAGCGCCCACGGATAGATAGACAGGCGTACGCGAATTTGGCAGCAGTTTCACTAATCGATTTGTACAGATTACACATCCCTCATAAATGGTTCATACTTGGCGTTCATATTTATCACACAGAATAACCCGAAATAGAAATATAAAGTGAATAAAGAATAATTAGAATTTGCTTGGTATGTATTATATGTCATGCAAAAATGTAATATGAAAATTTGAGTGTGACTTTTAGCAAATTTGTAGCAGGCGGTTGAAACTGCATCAATAAAACAAAAAATTCGCATTATTGTGTCGTATGAATTTCATGATTGATGCGATATAGTACGTTTGCCTCATAAATGTGTCTGAAGAAATTGTAAAGTTTCCATCATCGATCTCGCGTCGTGACGATCATGAAAGTCTACCCGGTGATACTCGCTCGTTTGACAGGGAAAGATCGATAATGTCTAGCTGCTGTGCCTTTTAATTATGTGCAATCGTTGCGTCAACGAGACGTGTTCGCAACACGACATGTTCACGAATGTCGATCGATGAAACTTGGACGGTGGTTGATCCTTTCTGAAATTCATTAATGCCAGTAGTATCCCCGAAGTGGGTTGCGCGGGACTTTCACGTTGATACAACGAGGGAAAATATGAGAAAGGGAATGAGTAATCAGAGAGAATTACGTAGCGCTCGGCTGGCTTAAAACGGATACGTCCACCTTTGAGTCCGCCGCGCTTACAGTCGCATTGCTTTGTTTAAAAATGATATAAAAACAGAAGCGTAAAAATCACCCTGTCACAGTGCCCGACAAGAGAATTCATAAGAAATACAAGTCTCGTATTATGTTATAATTTACAAATTAGTCAGAGGCAATTTATATTACAAAACGCGCAATTGATAGCGGCAACATCATCATCATTATTTTTTGTTTAATATTTGGACTCTTTTGTAGGTGGGTTCTTAAGGACGGCGGGTCACGTTCATTATTCGCTTCCATCTCAATCGAAATTTAATTAGAGAAATATTTCTAAACGAGGGAGACGCAGAGAGAAAGCGATCAACGATGAGAAAGAGGGAGAGAGAGAGAGAGAGAGAGAGAGAGAGAGAGAGAGAGAGAGAGAGAGAGAGAGAGAGGAAGCGCAAATGCTCCTCGCAGCTAATATCCTATCACTGGGCACGGTATCGATGATAATTAATAATAATTGCGTGCCGCTCGAGTAATCGAGCATCCATTAGCGCCATTACGGCCATCGTCACGTTACCACCCTTCGTGCCGCATGCTGTCCCTTCCGCTCCATTAACTTTATTATCATCGCGTCGTAATGTATTATTATGTATTACGACGTATTACGTGTTCGAGTAACGCAGCCGTGAAGCGCCGAGAGTGAGGGGAAATAAGTCCTGGTGACGGGCACTCTCTGATTTACGCGGGATGAGTGCACGCGTTCCGGGCGAGCCTCCGCGGGATTTTAAGACGCGCCTATATTCGCACTAGCGCGGGTTTTCGCGGTCGAGCGCATCGACCAAATGACGCCCGGCTTGTGACAAATGCGCGCCATGACAACTTCATGCGGCCCGAGAGACAGAGAGAGAGAGAGAGAGAGAGAGAGAGAGAGAGAGAGAGAGAGAG